TTTCCAATGGTGATAAGCAGTAACTCCCAGTAAAGGATGGGAAGCGGTGGAGAGGGCTGGGAGGGCTTCTCCAGGGAGGCGACATTTGAGGCAGAAACTGAGTGATGAGTGGACGTAGAAGAGAGTGTTCCCGGCACGGTCAAGACTCTGACGTTTAAGGACAACTCGGCACTGTAAGAGGAGGCTCCACCCAGGGCCTCAACCAGTTAATCCCCTCATCCCCTGGGGGAGCAGGAGTTGGCGGGTGCTGGGAAGGGAGCGTCAGTCTCAGGTGGGGCCTGGGAACAGGACAAGGTCTTCTGTGCCACCTGGGCAGGTGGTCACAGTAGAGAGCCCTGGCAGGTGAGGGAGAACTTAGGTCAGTTACTGAGTCAACACATGTTGGTTGTGCACCTGCTACCCTCCAGGCATTGTCCTGGCACTGGGAGAACAGCAGGGAACAAGACAAAGGCTCCTGCCCTAGGGGGACTGTCACTCTGCTGGGGAGAGCCAGAGGGTTAACCTATACATAGATATAACGATGGTAACAATCAGGGCAGCGGGAACAGGATGACTGGAAGGTGGGCAGCTCTAATTCAAGAGCCACTGGCTTCTCTAAGGAGATGATATTTAAGGTGAGACATAACTAAAAAGGGGCCAGCTGAGCAAAGTTCTGGGGGACAAGCTTCCCAGATACCAAGAACAGCAAGTGCAAGGGCCCTGAGGCAGCCATCGGCTTGGCTTCTCGGCAGGACAGATGCTGGCGCATGAAGCAGGGACAGGTAGAAGGTGACGTGGGCCTTATCTGGCCCCTTCCTTATCTGGCAGGAAGGGGCCAGATAAGGTACAGCCCTGCAGACCATGGGAAGAAACGTGGGTTTTATTCTGAGTGCGTTGGGGAGCCATTGGAGACTTTGAGGCTGGGGAGAGAACATGATCAGATTGATGACTTTAAAGCGTCTCTCTGGCTGCTGTATGGTGAATGAAGTTCAGAGGCCAGAGGGAACGAGGAGAGACCAGTGATGTGGCTGGAGAGCAGTGGCTGGCACAGTGGCGGTGGAGGTGGAGCGAGTGTCAGACCCAGGATATATAATATTCCGGAGCTGCAGCTGTCAGCATCGGCTGGTGGTTCAGATGTTGGGACAGAGGAAAGAGAAGAGTCAAGAATGATGGCCAGGCCTTTGGTCTGACCCCAGGGTGGATGGGGTGCCTTTTATTGAGACAGCATAGACAGGCCCTCAAGAAATGAGGTGACATCTAGACCAATTGACCATAGAGCCCAGGCCAGAGAATGCCAGTGTCCTGGGTGGCCCAGGACGTATGCCCCTACCCAACACCCTCCAGGGGAGAAGATTCGTGCTTTAAATAGAAGGAACACACCATAAGCCACCTGCCTTAAATAGAACCTCAACTCCAAACTCAGCAGCCTGGCCACCAACGTCCTTGAAATGACCCTTACATGAGGCTGAGGTACAGAGCCCCATGCCCAAGATTACCACAGGGAAATTAATCACCCATGCACCTGGCAGCCTGCATGCTAGAAGCTGAATCACCGCAGCCTTGACCAACGGAGTATGTATTAGGAACTAATTATAATTGCCACCAATTAATCATCACGCCAAGCCTTGGTTTCCACAACCCCGATTATCACCTGGGCAAAACAGTCTTTGCTCCTACAAGGAAGCTTTAATTGACCCAGTAACCCCGAGACATAACACGCAGGTCTGTTCCCCAGCACGTAGACAGTTCCTCATCCAGGGTGACATCAGGACAGCCGAGCCCGTGCGGGCAGCCCCGTGAGACCACGGCTCACTCAAGCCACCTGGGCCGAGGAAGGAACTGATTTCTTTTGCAGAAGCCGAAACCTCAGACTTCAAGACTTCAGGGGCTACGTCACGTTAAACAGTCCTTCCCCTAGAAACCTGAGGCCGGGAAAGGAGGGTCCCATATACGAGGAGCCAGGACACCTGATCGTTGGCAGGTTTCTCAAGATAATGCTGATGAGCAGCTGGATTTGGGAATTAGCATTTTAAACAACTCCTGTCTTCACTGGGCTCGTACACACGAGAAAGGCGGGTGCAGAGTAGCTGAATGCCAAGCCCTTATGGCTTTCTCTCTTTGTCAGAAAGATCCTGTGAGGAAGCGCAAACTTGAATCATAAAGAATTTGACCTAAAAGTCAGGAGAGTTGATTCATTTGTTCATCCATTAATAAACATTTTTTGAGCTTTTACTATGTGCCACACCCCAGCTAGGTACCCGGGTTGTACAGATGAGTCAGCTTGTGGCGGAGTAGGGCGCAGACAGGTACAACCACGTGGGGAGATGCTGGGACAGTGGCCTGTGTCGACGACCACAGACCTCCAAAGGAAGGGGTGACGCAGAGAGGGTTCAGAGAGGAGGTGATGGTTGAGCCACATCTTGGAAGAAAGTAAAAGTTCAAGGCTTAAGTGATAGGATAACGGCTCCCCAAAGATGCCCATATCCTAATCCCCGGAACCTGGGAATACGCTACCCTACATGGCAAAGGGTCTTTGCAGGTGTGATTAACTTGAGTGTCTTGAGACTGGGGGGTTTATCCTGGACCATCCAGATAGGCCCAGTGTATTCACAGGCCTTTGTAAGAGGGAGACAGAAGGATCTAGGAGCAGAGGTTGGGTGACTGGAGAGAGGGGACACAGTCACAGAACTCAGGCAGCTTCTGGAAGCTGGAAAAGGCAAGAAGACAAGAGTCTTAGAGCTTGCAGGAGAAAAACGGCCTTACCAACACCTTGATTTCAGGATATCTGGCCTCCAGAACTGTAAGATGGCAAATCTGTTTCATCTTAAACCACTGAGTAGGATAACTGTTGCAGCAGCAGTGGGAAACTAAAAGGGCTCACCTCACATAAAGCACTGTCGTAAGTGGTTTATACTCTGGGTCCCAGGAAACACGGGGTCGGGAGGTTAAAGTGATCAAGGCCCCATGGGTAGAAACAGCAGAGAGAGGATGAAAACCAAGACTGCCCGGTCCAAGTGCCACCCTCTTAGCCACTGGAAGGCACAGACCTCCTTCGTGGGCAGATGGAGCGGGCATGCCTGCTGGCCCTGCCAAGCCACCTGGGTGCAAACCAGCCCGGCACGCTCGGGCCGAGGGAGGGGGAGCTGGTGGGGGTGATCCCCATGTGCCAGGCCAGGCACAGCTGGTTCTGTGGGCAGAAGTGTGACCAGGGAGGGTTTCCCTGAAGACCTGCCGAGGACCTGAGCCCGGCGGGAGCTGTGGGGATGGAAGAAGTGAAATGGACGCAGTGAGATGTTGTTCAACGGAATCGAACAGGCTTGGAGACGTTGCACATTGGGGGGCTGGAGGAGGATTGTGGGGGCTCCCAGTCCTGGCTTGAGCGGCTGGCTGGGTGGTGTCATGTCCTGAGGTCACCCAAGAGGAGACCCACAAGTGTCCTTTGTGCCTGTGGTCTCCAACCCCCCAGGCCTCAGACTGTACCAATCTGTGTGGCCTGTTAGGAACTGGGCCGCCCAGCAGGAGGTGAAGCGTGGGCAAGCAAGTGAGGCTTCATCTGTGTTTACAGCCACTCCCCATCGCTCACATCACTGCATAAACTCTGCCTCCTGTCAGATCAGCGGCTGCATTAGACTCTCACAGGAGCACAAACCCTACTGTAAACCGCTCATGTGACGGGATCTAGGTTGTGCACTCCTCATAAGAACTTACTGCCTGACGATCTGACATGGAGCTGAGGCGGTGATGCACTGGGGAGTGACTACAAATACAATTATCGTTAGCAGAGAGGTTTGACTGCACAGTAAATGTAATGTACTTGAATCATCCCAAACCATCCCCTACCCCCAGTCCATGGAAAAATTGTCTTCCATGTGGTCCCTTGTGCCAAAAAGGTTGGGGACCACTGCTTTATGCCACACAGGGATGCATTGTCTGGAAGATGGGATGGGGGTTGACAGCGTAGGCTTGGTAGAGTAGTGACACTTTGCATAGGATCCCGTCCATTGTGGTGCTGCCCGAAGACAGAAATCCTGGGAGGATTGCTTGAGGTCAGGAGTTCAAGACCAGCCTGAGCAAATGCAAGACCCCATCTCTACAAAAAATGGAAAAATTAGCTGAGCGTGGTGGCACATGCCTATAGTCCTTGCTACTCAGGAGGCTGAGGCAGGAGGATCACTTGAGCCCAGGAGTTTGAGGTTGCTGTGAGCTATGATGATGCCACTGCACTCTAGCTGGGGTGACAGAGTGAGACTCTGTCTCAAAAAAAAAAATTATATATGGCATATTTCCTTCACTTTTGTTTCCTATGCAGTGTTTTATTTGTCAGTTGAGACCTTATGGGAGATTATCAAGTCAGTCTTCTATCCATTTTTAAAATTTGTTTCATTGCATAGCATTTATTTTCAAAAGCTATTACAGATTTTCTTAGGAATCATTTTTTATGGCCCCATAGTTTTCCACTGGATGGATGTACGTGGCTGACTTATAACTAAGTCCCTGGTGTTGGAAATCTCCAGATTGTTTCCAGTGTTATAAATTGTTTCATGTAATAAATGCAGCATCAGTACCTTTACTTACTAACGTATAGTCTACATTTAGGGTTGTTTTCTTAAGATTAGAATTCCAGAAACAGAATTCCTGGAGCAAAGGGGATACTCATTTTTTAAAAAGTCTTGGTTACGTATTATCAAATTGCGCTCCAGCAAGCCCGTACCAGCACACACTCCCCCCAGCGATGTCTTTGAGCGCCCGTTTGTGTCATCTCCTTCACAGCTTTGGGATTTGAGACACTGCTCTTTGCTAAGTTGACTGGTGAGAAATACCTGCTTGCTTTTGATGGACATTTTTAGTAGCTGTGTAGAATTCCGTCCAGGAAGCTGTGCCATTGTTCCACCGACTGGCTCTCACGGGGTCGTGCGGGTAGGATGTTTCCGGGGCTGGGGTTTGGTCAGTTACGCTGCTGCTGGCATCTCTTGCGTAAAACCTAAACTGATCCATTGCCTGTGCTGTTTCTCTCTTTTGAGGGCGCTACGATGCCAGGGCCAGAGTCCTCATTTGCCACATGAACTCCCTGCTCCAGGTGCCCTTGGAGGAGCTGGATTTCCTGGAAGAGACGTTCCTTGAGAGCCTGAAGGAAACCAAGGAGGAGGAATCTGAGTAAGAGAGCCCTGTGGCCCGGGCAGGGATGGAGGATTTCCACTTAAGTGCACTTTGCAGATAACAAAGTCCCCTTCTCCCCTTGTTAAGAGATGGTGCAGTGACGTGGAAGGAGCACTGGACAGAGAGTCCCAGCTGTAGCCCTGATTCACTGTGTGGCCTTAGCAAGTCACTTGCCCTCTCTGGGTCTCAGACCCCATTTTCAAGAGGAGATTGAATAGACGATTGCTAAGGGCCTTGAATCTGTGATTTTAACATCCCGTGGCCCTGACACCCTGTGCCGCCTCAGGCTCTTGTGCCACCTTGTCCATGGGCCCAAGTGACCTGGGTTCAAATCCCACTTCTGACACCCATCTGCTGTTTGACCTTGGGCAGGCGGCCTCCTATTTCTAAGCTATATTCTAAGCTATAGTATTCTTGTCTGTAAAACAGGAATAAGGGTAGTGCCCACCCTAGGTCATTAGGAAGAATGAAGGTGACCATATTATAAAATGCTTGTCCCAGGGCTGGTGCATAGCAAGCGCTCAGTGGACGTGAGTCCTCCCTTTCCCCACGTATCCCTGTACCCATCAGTCATAGAGCAGCTTTGATGTCCCTATATGGTCAAGAATGTGTGAGGGAAGCAACCCTGGTAACTTGGCCAGAGCTCAGCTCTTTGCAGAACACCTTACACAGGATCTAATCCCAGAGCAATAAATCAGCCCCAGTCACAGCTTAATCATGGGCTCCTGGCACCAGGCACGTCTCCCCATCTCGGGGTTTTGTTCCGCCGCGGCGGTGTTCTTTGAGCAGCCAGGGTTGTGCCAGTTCTGTCCAGCCGGGAATTTAATCCTGAAGCCAAACTCAGAGCCAGAGCAGCCCTCCTTGCCAGGGTTTGTGGGGCAAAGGGAAGAGGTATTTCCTTGAGAAAGGAGGAAAGTTGGTTTGTTGAAATAACCTAAAAGCAAACTGGCTTTGACTTCCAGAGCCATGTCAGTAAAGAAGTACCTGGATTTGGGCTAATTACCGTAATCACAGGGGCTGCCCACGTTCTTTGGATATATTGGGAATTTGGAGGGTCTTAGATGCTTTGAAATTAAGGAACCTCTCAGTTATTGTTTGGAAATCTTATCATAAATATACATATTACCCAGAGCAATTTGTTCTGATAATACTAGTAATGCCAGATCAGGGAAGATACTAACCAGAAGTTCTAACACAGGCCAGCTCTAGCACTTACCAGCCAGGCGGGATTGGGCATTATTTATCTCCGCTGGGCCTCAGTGTCCTCACCTGCAAAATGGGAATAATAGCAGCACCCTCCTCCTCACGGGATTCTTCTGGGGTCCAAATAAGTTCACACATGTGAAGTGTTTCAAGTGGGCCTGGGACAGAGTAACAAGTCCATAAATATTAATTGCTATTTTTAACAGGACTATTATAATTGTTATGATTAGTATAGATTCTTTTCCCAGAAAACTGCTTTACTCGTGTAATTGTTTATTCAATTTTAGGGTCTTTGGGGACCTTCCAGATTCTACCCATGGTCTCAGGAAGGATCTGAGACCCAGGGAAAGCACTAGCACCTGTTCAGCCAGGGGACCTGGTTCTCAGTTTGATTCTGCTACTCACGCTCTTCCTGGCCTTGAGCTTGTTGCTCTCCCCCTCCCCCCAGCAGCGCCAGTTTTTTACCTAGGTAATTAGGGGATTGAGTTATATGTGGATTTATTTTAACTCTAAGGTTTTGTATTTCTGGGAGGTGACCTTTCCACTGGGCACTCCGAGTTGCCTCTTTGCAGCTGGGGTTTCGAGTGTGACGGACCACCCCTCTGTCCTGGGTCCTCATCTGAGCCCTAAGGTCATCCAAGCCTCCCTCATTTGTTTAGTGACTTCACTTCTCTGTGCTTCGGTTTTTTCGTCTCTCACATGGGGTAATAGTAGTGTCTGCATCATAGGGTTGTAAAGAGGATTGAGTTAATTAACACGAATTAAAAGCATAGAGCAATACTTGGCACCCCGGCCTCAATACACGTCAGCCCGTGTGCTGCTGGAGGTGACACCGCTCACATCACAGTAACATTGTCAACATCTGACTTTTACTGAGTGCTTGTTACCTGCAGGCACTAGATGCCATCTCGTTGGATCTCATGACAGCCCCCTAAGGGTCTCCCAGATAAAGAAAGGAAGGCGGAGGGGCAGGGCCAAGGTCGCAGGCTGGCCGGCAGCAAGCATCCTCTGATTCAGCCACCATATCCCGTCTGAATGTCACTTACGGTATCCCTCGAGGCCTGGTTGATAATTCCAGGTTCCCTCCTTAATTCTGAGGAAATCAGGAAAGATAATTCTTCCAAGCCTTTACTAGGAAAGTGTCTGTAGACCTCTTGGAGATAAGCTCTCCCTTCTGTCAATGTAAGCAGCTGACTTAAAAAAAAAATAAAAAAAGGAAGAAGGAGGTAATGAGGATGATAAGGATGGAAACACCCTCTCCTGGGAGATAAGGTGGCAGTGAGGGACTAGATTCGCTGTGCATCCTGGATTTGAGCAGCGTAGGTGCCTTTGGCGTCCACGTAGGATCCGCTCGGATCTGCAGTGCAGTGTCAGTCTCCGTCTTCGAGAAACGGACGTGGAGTTAGTTTCTGTCATTTTGGAACCTGAGTGTGGCCGTGACCTTGTGACATTGTGGTTTGCCCTTGTGTCTAGTCATCGGGCAAAGTCGATAGTAGCAAAAAGGCTGTCACTTGGGTCCAGGGTGATTCTCTGAATTTTCACTTCCAAGGAAAAGGAAGAAACATTATTTTTGTGACTCAGAGCAAACATTTCCTCTTGTGCTTTCAGTATTAAAATTCAATCAGATAATTAAAGTCATTGCAAGAGTAAAATGCTGCCCTAATTAACCATGACCAGAAAAGCTGTTCATTTCAAGTACAGAACAGTTATTAAGAAGTGAATATGCTTAATAGGGAAATACATTGGCTGTTCAGGTGAATGTTAGGAGAGAGTGCCGTAACTAGGTAACTTTAGGAAAAATATCTTCTTTTTAAATAAAATGATTCAAATAAACAAACATTTAAATAATAATATAAAGCAGAATAGCACTAGAGACTAGAGCATATCATCCAGCTAGTCTTTGTAAAGTTGATTTGAGGCTGGGCACAGTGGCTCACACCTGTATTCCCAGCACTTTGGGAGGATATGGGTGAGAGGATCATTTGACGCCAGGAGTTCAAGACCAGCCTGGGCAACATAACTCCCCATCTCTACAAAAGAAAGTTTTTTTAATTAGCCAGGCATGGTGGTATATACCTGTGGTCCCAGCTACTAGGGAGGCTAAGGCAAGAGGATCACCTGAGCCCCAAAATTTGAGGTTACAGTGAGCTGTGATCATGTCACTGCATTCCAGCCCGGGAGACAGAGCAAGACCCTGTCTCTTAAAGAAAAAGAAAAAATTAATTTAAGGCTGAGCACAGTGGCTCACACCTGTAATCCCAGCATTTTTGGGAGGCCAAAGCAGAAAGATCACTTGAGGCCAGGAATTTGAGACTAGCCTGGGAAACATAGCAAGACCTTGTCTCTACAAAAAGTTAAAAATAGTCCCAGCTACTTGGGAGGATCACTTGAGCCCAGGAGTTTGAGATTACGGTGAGCTATGATCATGCCACTGCACTGCAGCCTGGAGTCTTTAAAAAAAAAAAAAAAACTTATTTGATATATAAGAAAATGAGGAAAGATGAAGCTGGAGGAGGCAGGGGCCTGAGTGCCACACCAGGGAGGTGACAGTGTCCCAAAGGCAGCAGGGCAGGCAAGAAGGGAGGAAGAGAGGGAGGCGGGCAGTCAGGTTGTGCTTTCCTACTTGACACAGGTGCTGTGGCCATTTCACATGTACATTTCCTACGGGAGAAAATCATGGATTAGAAAAGCTGGCTGGCCCAGCAAGATCGTGGCAGAGCTGGGCTCAAGTCCCTCTTCCCCAGATTTCCAGACTGTGTCTGTGTTTACTGAATCAAGGTGCCACTGACTCACAGAGCCACACCGCTTGTCCCCTTGCATGTTCCTGTCGTATAGTCACCAGCTGGAGTTTCTTCTCAGGCCTTGGACTCTGCCGAAAGCCAGTAATCTCCAGCCTTCCTGTTGGAACTGAATTAAGAATCATCAACTAAGGGTCAAGGCAGTTAAAGGTCAAAGTATATCTCCAGCCTGTGTTTAGGAGGAAATTACTGTAATAATAAAGGAATGATAATAGCCACAAACATATTGAACGCCCTCCTGCCAGGGTCTGTGGGGCAAGATGCCAGTCACTGTATGTGGATCACCTTCATTCAGTCCTCACAGCACCCCTGGGAATTAAGTACTGTCATTATCCCCATGTGTTGCATGAAGACACTGAGCTGTGACAAGTAACTTGTGCATAGTCACAAAGCTAGTACGTGGTCCTATCTAGCAGAATAGGCGAGGTTTTGCGGCTGTAACAAAATCTCAACGGCTTACGTAGCATCAAAGGTATATTTCTTGTTCGTACTACGTGTGTACTGCAGATTGTAGGTTTAATTCACATTGTCTTAGTTCTGGGTCCCAGGTTGACAGGGTGACCCCTGTCTGGATTATTGCTGGTCTCAGGACAGAGAGAAAGGAGACGGATAAGCCTCCTGTACTGGCCCTTAAAGATTCTGCCGGAAGTGACACACATCACCTCTACCTACATTTTATTGGTTAAAGCTGGTTGTCTGCCCACTCAGTTCGACAGGGCAGGGACATACAATCTTTCCGCAGAGAGGGATAACTGAATGTTTGGTGGGTGGCAACATCACGACAGCAGAGTGAGGATTCAAGCCACGTATATAGGGTAAACGTCTAATCCTGATGCTCGAACCCTTGATCCTGGTCATCATCCTGCCTTCCACTTTGCTAGATGCATCCATGGCGTGCGAACAGACTCCTGCTGTTGGTTTCTGCTTCTCTCTAAGGCAGCCACTGAGAAGTGCTGTGCTTAGGGAAAAAGTGTGTTGGCAGGAAACCAAAAGGCACAGCAGATCGCTGAATGCCCGACTCTGATCCCATTTCTTGTAGATGACTGGAGAATGAGCTATTGCTCAGTAAAGCGTGTGGTTCTCGAGCAGGGAGATGGGAGGAAGCAGGCACTGGCGTTGAGCACGTGCAGTTTTCTGCTCATGGAGATGCAGCTCCCAAACGTGTCAGCACGGCCTCGAGTCCAATGTCAATAAAACATTATTGATTGAGTGAAGAAGTAATTAATTTAATCCTTACAAACCAACAACCCTATGACGTACATGTTATTAATATTGTCCCCATATTATAAAAGAGGAAACTGAGGCTGGGGGCGTGCAGTGTCATTATGGCGGCAGCTGTTTTGGTCCATGCTCGTGGTGTGCCGACCAACATGCTAACTGCTGTACAAACAGTCTATTAATAGACTCCACAGTCCCTGGGGAGATAGGTACCTAAGATCCCCTAATTCATGTGTAATATGGGGACAGTAATAATCCTGCTTCTTCGGATAAGATAAATCCTGTGAAGCACAAAGCACAGTGGCTGAGCTTTAGGAAGCCGTCAGTAAATATTAACCACTTTTCTTCTTTTATCATCACCATCCTCTGCTATCGCTCCTCATCGAGTTGTCCAAACTCCAGCTTCAGTTCAGAGTTCCCCCGTAATGACTGCTCTGTCCCGCCTTCAGCAGAGCCGCTGAGGGTCGAACGTCCAATGGGAAAACTGGGCTTTGTCACTCCCGATCACTCACAACCTCCCTTCTCAGGGTTCGCCTGACCCCAGTTCACTCCAAACACTTTCCTTCTGCTAGATTTTCTAGCGCTTAAATTTAAAGTCTGAAAGAGTCCAGCTACTGCTCCAAGGCCAAGGTCTCCCATGCAGACATTCCTCTAACCCATCTTCGAAATGATTATCTTGAAGGCAATTGGTTTCCCAATGTCCCGGGGCGGGGGTGGGGGTCAGATGGCAGGATGGAGGAGAAAGGAGGGAGGGAGGGAGGTGATGGAGTCTGTGATTCTATCTTGTACTTGTTCTGGGTCCATCTGTTTAAAGATATATTTTGTATTTCTCTTGCTATTATTATTATTTTTTTTTGTCTTTTCGTTATTCAAATTGCAACCCTGTTAGGATGGATCCACTGGGTAAGTAGTACATCCCATATACTGAGATGCCCCACCTGGGTTTTAGAGTGTTTTCAGGCCAGCGCGGTGGCTCACGCCTGTAATCCTGGCACTCTGGGAGGCCGAGGCAGGAGGATCGCTCAAGGTCAGGAGTTTAATACCAGCCTGAGCAAGAGCGAGACCCCGTCTCTACTAAAAATAGAAAGAAATCAACTGGACAGCTAAAAATATATAGAAAAAATTAGCTAGGCATAGTGGCACATGCCTGTAGTCCCAGCTACTCAGGAGGCTGAGGCAAGAGGATCGCTTGAGCCCAGGAGTTTGAGGTTGCTGTGAGCTAGGCTGACCTCACGGCACTCTAGCCCAGACATCAGAGCAAGACTCTGTCTCAAAAAATAAATATGTTTTCATCTTTTAAAACCCATCTACGAGCCCCAGGAGACTTCGGTACCTTACTCTGCATGACAGAGCACCTACCTGGCATGGGCCCCAGTTCGGGGGTTGGTGAGGCAGGGACGTCTCCAAGGAGCCTGGGGACAGCTGGCCCTAAGACAACCACTTCTCCTCCAGGGTGGCCGAGGCATCACGGAAGAAGAAAGAAAACAGGAGGAAATGGAAGCGCTGTCTCCTGATAGGCCTGGCCACTGTTGGAGGCGGAACGCTGATCGGTAAGGCCAGCCAGAGGTGGTGGCCGGGGCCACACAGAGCGAGAGGCAACACCAGGCTCGGGGTGAGAGCGGAGAGTGCAGAGGGTTGGCTGGGAGGTGGCCCCTGGCGTGTGGGAGGTGCTCAGACAGTAGTCTATGTGCTCATCAGCATTTCCAGAAGCTTCCATGGGAGGCCATGGGCAGCTGATAGGGTAAGGGCCCGTCAGGCCACATCCTCACTCCCGACTCCATGTGCTGCTCTCCCCGCAGGCGTCACTGGGGGCCTGGCTGCCCCGCTCGTGGCCGCCGGAGCTGCGACCATCATCGGCAGTGCCGGGGCGGCAGCCCTGGGCTCCACGGCCGGCATCGCTGTCATGACCTCGCTGTTCAGTGCGGCTGGAGCTGGCCTGACAGGTGGGGGTCAAGGGGGGTGGTGGGGCAGGAGGGACTTGGGCCCAGCTCCTGAAGGACTCAGCCAGACTCTCAGCAGGGGGGGCTCCTGGGAGGCACGGAGAGTGGCTTTCCCGCTCTGGTCCCAGCCCTGCGGCAGAGGCCGCGCGGAGGACAGGGCCGTAGCTGACCTGCGGCAGGCGAGGGCCGCGTCGGAGAGGCTGGCTCTTCCCCCAGGCACCTCGTGTACACCTCCTGGGAAAGACCCTGATCGGACCTGCTTCCGCCATCCAGAAGTTTCCAGGAAAGCCACCTCAGAGGTGACACTGGGGCATCCCCCTGCCACCTTCCACGTCCCAGCACCACCGGGGGAGTTTTCCCACGTCCCAGGTGTCAGCAGCCCCCGCAACATGCACAGGCCCTGTGCAGCTCCCCAAGGGGGTGCCACCCACCTGTTGAGAGTCTCGGTCCCTTTGACTCGCTCTTACTAAGAGGGATGTGTTTTACCCCCGAAGTGTGCGGCCAGGAGAAAGATACTGACCTGAGTGAGGACGGAGCAGTGGTGAGAGCCTGGGCTCTGGGTTCAGACCCCAGCTCTGCCACTTGGGGGCTGGCCAGCCCCGGGCAGCTACTTACCTTCGTCCTTAATCGGGGACGATAACGGCACCTCCCGTAATGAATTCAGACACGGATGCGCTTGTCCAGGGGCAGAGCACACTGTCGGTGCTCACAGCGTGAGTGTGCGGGCAGAGACGGCCACTCTGGCCAGTGTTCCCTGGGGCCTTGGTCACCTCCGTCCTCATTCCTGTATCTGGTCTCCAGGATATAAGATGAAGAAGCGCGTCGGGGCCATTGAAGAGTTCACGTTCCTGCCTCTGACGGAGGGCAGGCAGCTGCACATCACCATCGCCGTCACCGGCTGGCTCGCATCTGGCAAATTCCGTGAGGACCGGGAGGGCCAGGGGCGGAGGGGGTGGGCATCGGCTGAGCTGGGCCTGCTGCTGTGGGCCCGACCCTGCACTGGCTTCTTGCTTGTGAATGTCTCTAGGGAGTGGGTATGGGGAGACCCCTTTGCAGAAGAGGAAACTGAGGCTCAGAGAGGTGAGGTGACTTCATCTCACAATCCACCTTTCCACCCATCCACCCGTCCATCCACCCACCCATCTATCCACCCATCTGTGCACCCACCCATCCACCTAGCCACCATCCACCCAGCCGGATGCACAGAGTGCTGTACTTGCCATGTGCCACGCACTGAGCCAGGCCCTAGGAATTCACAGCCATGGCTCTGCCATGGACCGTACTGTCCAACATAGAAGATAGACCAAGTGGTTAAAGGGAAGCTTGATGGATGGCACAGTAGGGGAAGCACAGGATGTGTTAGGGGAGGTTTCCTGGAGGAATGACATTTAGGTTAAGGGCTGCCTGGGAGTTAGCCAGGTAAAGAAGGAGCAAAAAGTACATGCCAAGCAAAGGGGCAGCATGTGCAAAGGCCCAGTGGTACGAAAGAACCAAAAGGAGCACAGGATGGCTGTGGCGGGGGCCAGAGGCAGGAGAGTAGGCAGGGCCAGACCATGAGGGAGCACGTGAGGTGTGGCGAGAGTTTGAATCTGTCCTTGGAGTAAGTGGACTTAAGCACGCAGGTGAGAGATCAGTATATCTTGGCATGTGACCACAGCAAGTTACCTAAGTTCTCTGTACCTCAGCTACTTCGTTTGTAAAGCAAAACAAATTATTCCTGCCTTTTCGGGTTGCTGCAAAAATTCAACTAGGTAACACATGGACTACACGTGGTTTCTAGTTGGCATTCCACAAACATTAGTCCCTTTGCTGCTGCAATTTGATTGTGTGTGTTTTGGGGGATTCTAACCAGGGTGGCACTGAGGATTCATGGAGAGGTCCACTCGCTCCCCTTTGCAAGGGCTCAGCAGACAGCAAGTCGCTTGGAGAGAGAGCAGGGTGGGCCCGGGAATCCGTGAGACCAGGGACACGTGCTCAGAGCCTCCTGGTTTCCCAAGTCTCTGAGACCCAAGGGCGGAAGCCACAGCTCTTCTAAACCACACGCAAGTGGGAAAATGTTGTTAGCAGGCGCCAGGGTCTTACTGGTGTGTGACCACCAGGCCCCCGCCCCCATGCAGAAGGCCTCAGCATTCACTGAGCACCTGGCTCATGCCTACCCTGAATCAGGCGTTTTACCTGCACGGTAGGCACTTGGTCTGCATCGCCTCGTGGAATCCTCACGTCCACCCGGGTGCGGCTGTTCCCATCCTGATCTGTTGGAAGAGAAGACCTAGCAGGTGGCAGGGCGAGGGGGGTGGGGCAGCAGATGCAGGATTCGAGCCCAGGGTCTCTTTCATTTGTTTCCACCATTCCATGCTACGTGAAGGAAGGAGCAAGCGCCTGGGTAAAGGAATCTGTGATTCTGACCAGTAGGGAAAGCAAATCCTATGTCTTTGTTTTACCCCCATTTGCTCAGTGTGCCCCAGGTCAAAGGTCAAGTTCATTTTGGGGGAAGGACACAGTCTTCATTGATCTCCAGCAGTCTAGTGCAGTGTGGGACCCAGGCAAAGGGGTGACTAAAAGAAACACAACCAAGCTAGTGAAAGTTCAGGAAGGAAAAAAAAAAAGCCTATTCTGCCTCCTTGGCTGCCAGGAAAGGAGCCTTGTTGTCATCCCAGGCTGGCTGGGAGCAATCGGACTTTCTCTGGCCCACCCTTTTATTAATCAGGGTTATATACAATAAAGATAGTAGCTTAGTAGCTAACACGTGCCATGAGCCAGGCCCTCGGTATGATTAGCTCACTTAGTTCACTTCAGGCCAAAGAAGTGGGTGTCATTAGCCACCCCCTCATTTTACAAATGGGGAAACTGAGGCTCCAAAGGGGTATCCAGGGTCACCCAGCTAGCCAGGGGCAGGGGCAGGGGCAGGATTCAACTCCGTTCTGTCTGGCTCCACAGCCCACGTTCTCGGCTACAGGGCAACACACCGCGGTTTATATGGCACTTTACAGTTGATACAATGCTTTTTACACCGCACCTCGTGTGATTCCCCGCCACGCCCGTGGGTCAGATGTTGTTATTCCCTTCCTACAGATGTGGAAACCAAGGGCCAGAGGGCAGCGTGCCTTGCTGTGGGTCACGCCGGCAGGAGCTGCTGAGCTGGGGACCCACGTGGGCTGGCATCACAGCAAGCCCTGGCCCCCCCAGCCCCCATTCTGCGTCCGCCGCCTCTCTCGGGGCTGGCCGTCACTTTATCCGTAGTTAGAGGCATTTGACCCGAGTTGTTGCAGAGCTGAGACAGGGTCCCTGCGGAGGGAGAGGGCACAGCTGCAGGATTGTCTTTGTGTCAACGTGGGGCCCTGCAGGTAAGGACGAGCCCTTCGAGGGGGGCAGGTAGAGGCGTAGTTGATGTCCAGAACTGTTCGGTCACGCTCCGTGTCTGCAGGAGTGCTCGCTCCGCCTCACGCCACCAGGCTTTGGGAACACGGTGCTGGGCAAAGCAGATGGCAGGAGATGCATGTCAACCAGAGGATGCAAAAGTAAATGGATAGTTACAGACCGTGATGGGAACTTTGGGTGTCGGGGGGCAGGGTGCAGGGTGCATTTGATCTATCCGAGGGGCTGGGAAGGGCTTCCCTGTGGAAGAGGCGACCGAATTGGAATCTCAAGGACAAGTAAGGGTGATCCAGGGGAACTGATCCAGGAGATGTTGAAGGGTTTCAGGCAGGGGTGGGAGGAGATCTATGATGTGACAGGGTCACTTGGGCCACTGGCAGAAAGGGATGGAGCCAGAGTAGGTGCCCCACTGTGCTCCTGTCCAAAGGCAGCCAGGCGGGCGAGAGGGGAGGAAGAGGGAGAGGCGGGCAGTCACGTACCTTCCTACCTGACACGGCTGCTATGGCCATTGTCCTGCCATGGGGTCATTTGACTTATATATTTCCTAAATAAGAAAATTGAGACTCGGGCCAGGCATGCTGGCTCACACCTGTAATCCTAGCTCTGGGAGGCCAAGGCGGGAGGATTGCTTGAGCTCAGGAGTTCAAGACAGGCCTGAGCAAGAGCGAGACGCGAGACCCAATTTCTACTAAAAATAGAAAAAATTAGCCAGTCAACTAAAAAAAAAAATGAAACAAAAAAATTAGCCGGGCATGGTGGCGCATGCCTGTAGTCCTAGCTACTTGGGAGGCTGAGGCAGGAGGATGGCTTGAGCCCAGGAGATTGAGGTTGCTGTTAGCTAGGCTGACGCCACAACACTCAGTCTAGCCTGGGCAACAAAGTGAGACTCTGTCTCAAAAAAAAAAAGAAAAGAAAGAAAGAAAATTGAGGCTCAGGAGAACTGGGTGACCCAGCAAAATCACAGCAGAGTTGGGCTCAAACACCTCCCCCCGAGTTTCTAGCTATTTCCCATCAGTGTTTGTTGAATCAAGATGCTGCTGACTCCCAAAGTCACCCGCTGTCCCCTCATGTGCTCCTGTGGTGTCGTCAGTAGCTTAATGCCAGAGTGCGGAGAAAATAATACTTCATAGTAGTTCAAACACTTAGTGGTCTCCTTTAATATCTACCCTGTGAAGGGAGATAAATATTAGCCTCCCCACTTCACACATAAGCAAAGTGAGGCTGAAGGCGGGATAGTGCTGTGCCCAGGGTCACCCAGCTTCTGATGAATGCAGGCGCTGGGGTTCGAACCCCAGCCTGCTGACCCACAGGCAGCACCGCGCTCCACCTGCTCTGCCGACACTGCCACTCTCGGGCCGGGGTGGGCTCTTGTTTTCCGCACAGGGTGAGTGGTCCGCGGTCGCTGCTAGTCTAGTGTGGTGGGGTGGGGCATCCTCTGCCACCGACAGGAGAGACCCCACCTACCCGCGTTCTCCCCAGGCACCTTCAGCGCCCCGTGGGCCGCCCTGGCCCGCAGCTGTGAGCAGTACTGCCTGGCCTGGGAGGCGAAGTACCTGATGGAGCTCGGCGATGCCCTGGAGACCATCCTCAGTGGCCTTGCCAACATGGTGGCCCAGGAGGCCCTAAAGTACACAGTGTTGTCAGGTAAGCTCCCCCAACCCCCTCCGACAGCATGCCCACTGCGTCCATCCCACAGTGGGACCCTAGCTTTGCATGCCTGAGGCCCCCAGGGAGCCGGGCACTGTGCTGCACACTAGGAACACAAAGAGGTTAAGGCCACATTCCTATTTATGCTCTTTGAGAGGAGGGGACAAGTAAACCGCCAATCACATGGTGCATCAGTTAGCCATTGCTGCATAACAAGCTACCCCAAAACCCAGTGGCTTAAAATAACAATCATTTGTCATCATAACTCAGGAGCTGGGAGGTGGAGTTGGCTGATCTTAGCTGGGCCTGCTCATGCATCTGTGTGCTGGCCAACTGTATGCCGATTGAGGCCAGCCTTGTCTGGGCAACTCAGCTCTGCTCCACTTGCCTCTTGTCTTCCTCCTGGCTGGCCTGGGCCAACAGTAGGAGTGCAAGGGAGGCTGGCCCCAGTGCACAAGCCCATCTCACGCCTCACCTCTACTATAGTCTCATTGTCCAGAGCTAGTTCCCATGGCTGAGTCTAGATGGGGATGTGGGGGTGGGGCCCTGCAGAGTTGTGAGGCAAAGTGGGGGGATACAGGGTGAGGTGACAAATCAGGGCCATCTTCGGAATCTCACATATGACAAGGGCTTGAGCAGAAGGAATTTAGTCTATATATCAGAAACACATGAGTTTCAGACTTCTTTGCTCTTGAGCAGTTTGACAACACTTGGAAACAGGCTCCCAGTTAGAGACTCTGCATGCGTGCCCTGGAGCACTGGGGTCAGCCAGTCACTTGCCCAGAAGCCCACCCCCCTCAATTCCCTCCACCACTGATATGCCACCTCCCCAGGCATTGTGGCCGCCCTGACCTGGCCAGCCTCACTCCTCACTGTCGCCAACGTCATCGACAACCCCTGGGGTGTGTGTCTCCATCGATCCGCAGAGGTTGGCAAGCACCTGGCCCACATCCTGCTCTCCCGGCAGCAGGTACCTGGGAATTGTGGGGTTGGTGAGGAGGGGAGAGGGGGTGCTAACTCGTGTGCAAACATCAGGCTTAGGGGCAAGGCCACTGGGAGGTAGCCCAGTGGCTCTGGGTGAATGGGTGGTCTTTGGTGTCTCTCTAGTTCAGGTGATGAAGGTGCCAAGTGCCCTGGGATGGACCAGTAAGAATTACAGACCATATAGGCTGCACATGTCTAGCAGGTCATCAGGTGAGGGCTGAATAATAGGGGCATCTGCAGGTAGGAACAAGGTTGGGGGCTCTAGCAGAAGCAAAAGTGGCTCCTGTGTATCAGCTTTTAATGAAGGGGTTTAGTAATAATGGGCCCGGCTCACTTGGGTGAAATTTCAGTGGAAACTTCTGACTCAGTTTGCAGCAAAGCCAGTAGAGTGATAGGACCATGTGCCTCAGCTGGCCACAAGTTGAATTTCCCCGTGCTAGTGGCAGAAGTTCCCTCCCAGAAGTATAAAGCTACCACATGAGGACACCTCCAGTGGTCTAAACACCATGTAAAATGGTCAGGAAGAGAAATCATAATGCTTTTAAAATTTGAATCCAGTAAAGATGTACTCACCATGGAAAGGAAATTGTCCCCTTGAAAATGAACTTGAGTTAATGGAGATAATAGTTTGAGAAATAGTATTAGAGATGACTATATTGTTAGAATTTGTTTTGGCTGCAAATGGGAGAAAACCCAAAACAACAGTGCCTTAAATAATGTAGAAGTTTATTTTTCCTGGAAAAGCCTAGGAAGGCTGTCCCACCCTCAAATTGTGTGCCATGGTGTAGAGACCCAGGTTCCTTCTACCTTCTTGTTCTGCCATATGTGATCTTGGCCTCGTGGCCCAAGATGGCAGCATCTATGCTCCAGGGAGCAAGAGGAAGAGCTGAAGAAGAAAGAGCAAAGCCTTCCAGTATTTCAGTTGACATCTCATTGGCCAGAGCCTAGTCAGATGACCATACCTAGCTGCCATGGAAGCTGAGCAATACAATCTTTATTGAGTGGCAGTGAACTGAGCTAAAATACAATTACCATGAGAAATAGTGAGACTGGACTGGGCGTGATGGCTCACACCTATAATCCCAGCACTTTGAGAGGCCAAGGCAGGAGGATTCCTTGAGGCCAGGAGTTTGAGATCAGCCTGGGTCTCACAGCAAGACCCCATCTCTACAAAAAAAGAATTTTTCTTAATTAGTTGGGCATGGTGGCATGTGCCTGTAGTCCCAGCTACTTGGGAGGCTGAGGCAGGAGGATCGCTTGAGCCCAGGAGTTGAGCTATGATAAAACCACTGCACTCTAGCCAAGGTAACAGAGCAAGACCTCATCTCAAAAAAAAAAAAGAAAGTGAGCACGAATATTAAGGGACAACTAGCAGCTTCTGCCATGTGAGTAAATTGCTTGAGAAACTGGTAATCCCCATCTAATTCTTGTGTCTTTGTCAAAAGAAATATAAAAGCTCCTTGGCATGTTTGACTGTAAGGCAAAGACAAAATGGCATTGGCTCAAACAAGATAGAAGTTAATTCCCTCCCATGTAGCAGTCTGGGTGTCAGCCTCCAGGGCAAGATGGTGTGTATTAGTTTTCTATTGCTGCTATAACAAACTATCACAAATTTATTGGCTTAAAACAAATTTATCATCTTACACACAAATTTATTATTAATATGTTACAGCTCTGGAGGTTAGAAGTCCAACATGCACATTCCTCATGCAGGCTCTAGGACAGCATCCACTTCCTTGCCTGTTCTAGCTCCCAAGGGCACCTGCATGCTTAGCCTATATAGCCCCTTCCTTCATCTCCAAAGCCAGCAGTGTGACCTCGCCACCTCTCTCTCTGCTCCTCTGCTTCCATCACGACGTCACCTCTGTCTGCCTCCTCCTCCTGCCTCCCCTTGTCGGCACCCTTGTGACTGCACTGGGCCCACCCAGGTAACCCAGGGTAGTTTCCCCATCTCAGATCCTTAACTCCATCACATCTGCAAAACCCTTTTGCCTTTGTACCCGTCACACCCGGGGGTGCCCCTGTCTGATCTCCCCAGCTCTACAAGGGGTTCCACAGCGCTGCAGTCATTTGCCACCAGGCAGAGCGTCCAGGGGAAGTTGCTCCTGCCATTGACTAGTCCTGCCTCCTGGAGAAGAAGAGATGGCAGCTGGATCATGGTTTGAAATGAAAGGGAATTAACCCAGCCAGAGGCTGCCTGTTGGCCTCGCGGGAGGCCGACTCTGGCAGCAGGTGCGCTCCCGCGTAAATGAGGCCCTGACTCTGCTGATTAAGATGCCAGAGCTCAGGGGCGGACGGCGCATGCGTGATTCAAGCAGTGATAGGTTGGGGGCACTGAGGAGTGTGCGAAGGCCGCCCTCTTTTCAGGGGCGACATTTTGCTAGAACTGGCTGGATCCCCTCCAGACACCTTGTCTTTTCCCCACGCCCAGGGCCGGCGACCCGTCACCCTGATTGGCTTCAGCCTGGGGGCCAGAGTCATCTACTTCTGTCTGCAAGAGATGGCGCAGGAGAAAGGTGAGTCCGGATCATTGTCACGGATGAAAACCCTTCCCAAGTTGGTCGCACAGGACAGAGGTTCTGGGCCAGGGGTCATGAACCTTGCAAAGCGTGTTCCCAGTTCTTAGAAATAATAGTTAAGTTGAAAGTAGTTTAAAATAGAGAAAAAAATAATTAAACTGTTTGGAAAATGATGGCATAAATTAGAGCAATGAGAAACAGACAGTCCTACAGTCATGACACCGGCTTTTGCATCCTGATGCACATTCTCGAGTGGAATGAGGGGGACGAGAAGTCCAAAAATGAGGTGTCGGCAGGACCCTGCCCTCTGACGGCTCTGGGGGAGGATTCTTTGTGTCTCTTCTGGCAGCTGCTGGCCCTCCTTGGCGTTCCTTGGCAGTGGACACGTCGCTCCAGTCTCTGCCTCTGTCTTTGCGTGGCCTTCTCCTCCCTGTCTCTTCTCTTGTAAGGACAGTGTCATTGGATTGAGAGCCCACTCCAATCCAGGAGGATCTCGTCTCACATCATTGACTTAATCACATCTGCAAAGACCCTTTCTGCAGAGAGGGTCTCGTTCACAGGTTCTGGTGGACGTACCTTCTGAGGGTGGGCCCTGCTCAGCCCACCTCAGACACCTCTGGGAGTGTGACATTCCTCCAACGTCATCTGTCCTGTGCTGAGGCAGCAGAAGGCTTGAGAGCAGCTGGTCCAGGCCTCGGGTGGGCCAGGTCTCCAGGGCAGGTTGGGGTTTGGGCAGAGCTGCCAGCAGAGGCTGCCTGTAGGGGGCACTGGTTGAGGGGGTCTCAGTTCGGGGCTTGGGGCACTTGGAGCCGGTTCCTGGGAGTCACCTCCTGGCGGAGTGCAGCAGTGGCAAGACTCTGAAGGCAAGAGAAGGAGCTAAGACAGGGACTCCTGAGTCAGAGAGCACAGGGTGGGTGGGAGAAAAGGTTCTGGAGCTGCAGCCAGCATTCTCAGGATTCGACTGAACGCCTCTCTGAGCCTCAGTTTCCCCCCATATAAAGTAGGGTTAATGTTCCCACCCCATGGGGTTGTTCTGAGGAACAGATGGGGTCCCCCGTGGCACAGTTGCTGCCCAGCTGCCTACGAGCAAGGCGGGGCAGGAAGGGCTGTCACTGGCCAGGCCTGAGGCAGCCAGGGTCAGGGCTGACTGCTGTTACTTTCAGCATGGCACGATCGGAGGGCATGGGAGAGACCCTGGAGCTTAGGGGCATGTCTCATTCTCATTCCTTTTCTTCTGCTACAGTGTTTCCCCAGCAGCACTGTGGACTGAGGACAAGAGCAGGCTTCCTGGTTACCAGGCAGGGGGCCATGCCATCTCTGGCACCGGCCGTGGGAGAGCCGAGCTGCCGTGCCTGTGCTCTGCGCTGGGCCCGCCTGCCTCTCCACGCTCCTCTCCCTGCTCCTCCCTCGTAGCTTTCAGCAGCCCTGCCCTGGTTTTGGCCACATCTGTGAAAGCAGCGGGAGCCACCCCTGTTCTATTTCCAATCGCTTTGGGTAGCCTAGAACCCCGTGCAAAGGGCCGAGGGACCCAGCTCTGGGCTGTGTTCACCAGGAAGATCCAGGCTGGGTCAGAGGTCGGCAAAAGCCACTAAGGAAGCAGGGGTGAATTTGGGTAAGGGTGAGTTTCTGTTTCTTCCACGGAAAATATCGCACCTTCCCTTTCTGTATACATTCTTCCCCCTCCCAGGCATCATCAGAGATAGAGCAAGTCAGTGAGGCATCCCTCACCTGCCCGCTACGGATAATCCACCTGGGACCCTGTGTCTTGCTGGGAGGAACCTTCCGGGTCCCCACAGAATCTCCCTGCCCTCAGCTCCTCATCCCCTTCAGTAAATAGCTCCGTGGAGCTGCAAGAACACTGCTGCCTCCTACCGCACAATGCTATTTTCCATATTACTGTTACTTTGTGCGAATGTTACCATACTGTCAGAATCTGTCTCAGGAAAAATTGGGGGACAGTCCTCACATTGTAGAACACAGGTTCTTTGCCATACAATGTGTGGTTAAGTTAAGCTGGGCGCGGTGGCCCTTGTCTATAGTCCCAGGTACTGGGAAGGCTGAGGCAGGAGGATCGCTTGAGCCCAGGAATTTGAAACCAGCACCTGGGCAATATAGTGCGACCCTGTCTCTTAAGAAAAAAAAAAATGTGTGGGTTATAAAGAGACAGCATGGGTGTATCAGTCAGCTATGGCTGGCGTGATACTGCATAACAAACCACCCCAAAACTCAGAGGGTTACGAGAAGAAATATTTTCCATGCTCAGGGTCTGCAGGTTGGCTGTGGTTTGGTTGATCCACAATGACCTCTGTTTCTAGCTGAGGCTGGTGTGCTGGGCTCCAGGCTGCAGGCGGGTCTCGGATGTGTGCCAACTTCAATTGGCTTGTGTGAAACATAGCAAATAATAATAGCATTAAATATCTACATGAATGCCGTTAGTAGGATTGCATTATGTGCAATAGTGCGTATAAATGCTGGCCTATAGTGAGAGCCCGGAGATACTTACTGCTAACCTGCCAGGCGCTGTTAATAAACGGGAGAGGCACACAGTATGATAGCAACCCTTCCCCCATAGATGGCATGAGCCCTGAACCTAGTCAAGGAACAAGTGTCCTCCCGCAGGGTCAGAACCTGCAGTTTCTATTCCCTCCTACGGCCACGGCACCTCCTGCCGTCTTCCCCAGCGTCCTCCCTCCCAAGCCCTTGCCGCGGGTCACCGACGGGCATCCCCGGATCTCTGGCTGGCTGTGAACTTCAGTGAAAGTTTCACCCTTTGCCCAGAGCTGCTGCTCACATCCAGTTCCTTCCAGCTCAGCTGTCTGGGCTCAGGCAGCGGTGCTTGTTTAACACCCAATTAATCCGCACACTGAGCAGACCCTCTCCTAATTGCAGGAAAGCTGACATTATCTGAGTTAGGGGATGTAAAAAAGAAATGACTCTAATGCATTTGAATCCACTAATTGTCTTCTGGAGTCCCTTGAGAGGCAGTAATGAAATGGAGCTCTAAATCCCAGAGTCGCCCAGAGCACACGGTCCTTCAGCCAGCCTCCCCTCCCCTCCCCACAACCCAGTTCCTCCCTGCTTTCCTCTCCCTAACACAAGTTGCCTGTAGAATCCACCGTCTCCACAGCTTCGCCTCCCTTTTTGGCTGATGCTGCAAACAGCAGGGGTGGCTGCCCTGGGCATCCGCACCATTCCCGAGGTTCCCCTCACAGCCTGGCCTGCCCTTCCCTCATGCTCCGTGCAGTCGGCTTCCTTTCAAATGGGCGCCGAGGCCACAAGCCCCTTGAGAGCACAGATTGTGCGTGACTGACCGCTGTGCCTCCTGTACCCGGGATAAAGCCAACAGAGAGCACATGCTCCATGAATAAACTGACCATGAAGTCCAATGTTACCAGCGTTCACAGTGCATCAGTCAGGATAGCCTAGGTTATGCTGCAGTAACAACTATCCCCAGTGTTTAGAGGTGTTAACACAGCAGAGGTTCACTTCTCACTCGTGCTACCTGAGTGGGCAGGGTGGCACTGATCTTTGGGGTCACTGAGACACCCAGGTTGAGGGAGCTCCATGTCAACATGTGGTTCCTCAGTGGGGCTCAGAGCATGTGGTGAGTTATGCACTGGCACTTAAACACCTTCACCTAGAAGTAATACATGTCACTTTCATGCACGTGTCCTTGGCCAAACCAAGGCACAGAGACATTTTTAACATCAAGGAGGGACCAGTACACACCTTCCTACCATGTGCTCAGAAGGCAGAGAGCTGGAACCATTTGGTAAACATCCCCGGTGACCACCACACACGTCTTGTTCTTAAATCCACGGCGGGGCCTCCTGGTTCCATACAAAATGACACCAAGTAGCAGCTTCCATTTCCTGAACGCCAACTAGAACTTCACACGCAATTAGCAGCCAGAAGCCCTCAGTTGCATTCTGGCCTCTGTAATTAATTCTTAGCCAAGGCCTCAGCCAAGAAACTGTCCTCACTGAATCTCAGTGTCTTCATCTGAAAAGTTGAGACGTTCCCCTCTTCCCCTCCTCTACCTCGAGTTGCTACACTCAGAAGGTAGAAGTACTCCATGATGGAAAGTCAGAGTGGAGCAGGCTCTGGGGTGCCGGGGTGAGTGCCCCAGTGATGGGTGGTACCCAGGGGCCCAGGAACTCAGCCAAGGGGCCTCCACGCAGACAGATGTGGGACGGCACTCACGTGTCACCCGCCTAAGGAACAGGGGAGGCCAGTGTGGAGCCCGGGTTCAGTCTGGCAGCGAGCAGAGCCCGGGCAGTCCCGGCAAAGCTCTAGGCTCCTTTGGCCCCAGACTGTACCCAGCGCCCAGAGTCAGAGGAGATGACCTAGTGAAAATGGCTTGAGAACACAGAGCTGCCCACAAACAGGGATAACTATGATAGTAGTAATAGCAGAAATAGCTGCTGTCTGTGAAGGTCTAGTTGCCTGCCTGGGTTTTGCTCAGAATCTTACACACATTCTCTTCAACCCTCACAATAAACCCTTGAGCAGGTACTTCTACCCATTTCTCAGATGAGAAGAGTGAGATTCAGAGAAAAGTAGAGCAGTTCGCCCTAGAACCAGGATTTCGACATACCTTTTTCCAACTAGAGAGCTCCTGTTTTTATCATATCATTTTATTTCAATCCTTACTGGTTGGATGAATGTTCTCATTCAAAGCTGTATCCCAGATCAGACTTCTAAACAGAGAACCATTCTACATCAGATTCACGCCATCGGCTCACAGTAAGCTGCGTGCGCGGTGCCGCGCTAGGCTCTGACAGCTAGTATATGTAGCCCATTTCTTCACAGAGCTCACAGTCTATTGAGATAAACTGCCCTCCCAGAGACACAGGTTGGAGACACAAGGTTGGGGCCTTGCAGAGTGGTGTCGGGGTCAGCGATGACACGTGTCAGTTATCCGGTGGAGCACCTGGCACATAGTAGGTGCTTGGGAAAGGGAGCTCTTGCTGCTTTCCCATACCAGGATCCAGGGC